AGTGAGACTGTCTCAATCAATCAATAAAACTTTAGTAAGAAAAGCTGGTTAAGATAAAGGTAGCATTACCATATTCACACAAAAAGAACATTGTAAAAATTCTCTTCCTTTTCAGAAGTATTCCTCGTATTTTGTGGATCCAGAAGAATTTCACATTATACAAAGACCAGTATCATACATACTTCTAATGTCTCTAGAATACGTCCACTACTGGTTTATGACATTGTTCATGTTATAGATCTTCTAGGCATAGTGTTATTTTTAAGTCATGTAGCAACTAGGCCCAGTGGCTCACATCTGTAATCCCAGCACTCTGGGAGACCAAGGCAGGTGGATTGCCTGAGCTCACAGGGTCGACACCAGTCTGAGTCAGAGCAAGACCTCATCCCTAAAAATAGCTGGGCATTGTGATGAGTGCATGTAGTCCCAGCTACCTGAAAAGCAAGATGATCACTTGAGCCCCAGGAGCCCCAGAGTTTGAGGTTGCTGGGAACTATGACGCCACAGCACTCAATGGAGGGCAACAAAGTGAAACTCAGTCTCAAAAAAAAAAAGCCAAAGTCATGTAGCATCTATTATAGGCAATAAACTTTGATGAAGATAGTAATATATTTTGAAATGTTAAGTAATCTTTGCAAACCCCACATAATTAGGATAGATGAAAAGTACTATAAAATTTGACTTTCTATTATTTCGCTGTTCTAATAATTCTTACAATGAATTTAAAAAAAATTAAATGAAAACATACGAAGTTTGACTTTAAACCACTGTTACCTTTTTAGCATCCCTATGAGTTAACAGAAGTCAATTACATCAGTTATGAATGTTCAACTTCACTGAAGAATTTTAGTAATTCTTTACTGAAGAATTTCAATGAAAAGGAGGATGGGGAAAGTATATACAGAAATACTAATGGAAACCAGGCATGGTTGCTCACGCCTATAATCCTAGCAATTTAGGGGGCCGAGGCAGGTGGATAGCTTGAACTCATGAATTTGGGACCAGCCTGAGCAAAAAAGCAAGACCCCATCTCTACCAAAAATAGAGAAATCGGCTCAGTGCCTTAGCTCAAGTATCAAAGGCACCAGCCACATACACCAGAGCTGGCAGGTTCAAATCCACACTGGGCCTGCCAAATAGCGATGACGACTATAACCAAAAAATAGCTGGACTTTGCCTGAAAAAATAAAATAAAATAAAATAAAAATAGAGAATCGAGGCAAGAGGATCACTTGAGCCCAGGAGTTGGAGGTTGCTGTGAGCTATGATGCCATGAACTCTACCCAGGGTGACAGCTTGAGACTGTCTCAAAAAACAAACAAACAAATAACATATACTAACATATTTTACATTCAGAAAAGGACATTAATTTTTTTTTTTTTTTGAGGCAGTCTCAAACTGTCGCCCTGGATAGAGTACCATGGCATCACAGCTCACAGCAACTGCAAAACCTTGGGCTTAAGTGATCCTCTTGCCTCAGCCTCCCAAGTAGCTGGGACTATAGGTGCCTGCCATAATGCCAGACTATTTTTGGTTGCAGTTCTCATTATTGTTTAGCAGGTCTGAGCCCAGCTTGAACCTATCAGCCTTGGTGTATGTGGCTGGCGCCCTACTCACTGAGCTACAGGCACTGAGCCTTATTTATTTATTTAGTTTAGAGACAGAGTCTCACTTTGTCATTCTTGGTAGAGTGCCCTGGCATCACAGCTCACAGCAACCTCCAGGTCCTGGGCTTAGGCGATTTTCTTGCCTTAGCCTCCTAAGTAGCTGGGACCACAGGCGCCCACCACAACACCTGGCTTTTTTTTTGTTGCAGTTCGGCTGGGGCTGGATTTGAACCCGCCACCCTCAGTATATGGGGCTGGCCCCCTACTCACTGAGCCACAGGCACCGCCCTTTCTTTTTTTGAGTTTCAGCATGTCGCTCTTGGTGGTAGAGTGTCGTAGCATCCAGCTCACAACAACCTCAAACTCTTGGGCTTAAGCAATTCTCTTGCCTCAGCCTTCCAAGTAGTTAGGACTACAGGTGTCCATAACATCTAGCTATTTCTTTTTGTTATTTTTTTTTGCAGTTTTTGGCTAGGGCCAGGTTTGAACCCACCACTTCCAGTATACGGGGCCAGCACCCTACTCCTTTGAGCCACAGGTGCTGCCCCTCCCAGCTATTTCTGTTTTTGTTCTTCTAGTAATTGTCATTGTTGTTTAGCAGGCCAGGGCAGGGTTCAAACCTGCCAGCTCTGGTCTATTTGGCCAGCGCCCTAGCCACTGAGCTAAAGGCGCTGAGCCAGATTATTTTTTGAAGTATGAAATACAGAATATTCAAATGTGTTGACAATGCCTACCCAATTGAAACATACCTAGATCATACATAAATTAAGGAAATAACAAATTTAAATATACACTCTACATGTTAAAAACAAAAACAAAACATCTGGGCTTGGTGCCCGTTAACTCAGTGGCCAGGGCGCTGGCCACATGACTAGGGCTGGTGGGTTCAAACCCGGCCTGGCCTGCTCAACAACAACAACAACAACACAGCTGAGCATTGTGGCGGACGCCTATAGTCCCAGCTACTTGGGAGGCTGAGGCAAGAGAATCGTTTAAGCCCAAGAGTTGGAGGTTGCTGTAAGCTGTGTGATAGTGAGACTCTGTCTCACAAAAAAAAAAGGGGAGGGGGGCAAAAAACAAAGATCCCTGATTTAGAAGATGACTATCACTTTTTTTTTTGTTTTGAGACAGAGTCTCACTATGTCACCCTTGGTAGACTGCTGCTGCATCACAGCCCTTGGGCTTAAGTGATTCTCTTGCCTCAGCCTCCCAAGTAGCTGGGACTACAGGCGCCCGCCACAACATCCAGCTATTTTTGTTGTTGTTATTGTTTAGCAGGCCAGAGCTGGGTTCGAACCCACCAGCCCTAGTGCATGTGGCCAGAGCCCTAACCACTTAGCTACGGGCACCCAGTCAAGGCTATCACTTTTTACCAAGTACTTAAGTCTCCAAAGAGTAAAACTCAGAAAAGAAGAATTAATTTTAGACCCCTTTCCATAAGCATTTTCGTTTCTAAAATACCACAAAGAACTTACTTTACCTGTAGATAGGTTCCACAAAGTCAGAGTAAAGCAGTATATTTAGTATGTGACAAGCTAAAGGGTATATATTAAATATATTCATCAAAAAGTTAAATATATTTTAACTTACCTAAAGTTAAAATATATTTTAAAAGTTATATATTTTAAAATGTTTAAAAGTTAAATATATTTTGACTTTAACTAAAATATTAGATATATTTTAGTTCAAAAAGTTAAACACTGATCATCTAAAAAAAACTGTCGAACAAATTCTTAGCTCTCACTGTGGTGACTTCATAAACATGGACGAAACTATTAAGACTTTTATACACTTAGAAGACAACTCTGTCCCACATTTATGTTTATTAAAAATAGACATAAGCATGGCTGGCTGGCCTTTTGGCTAAGATCAAGAGTAAAAATTGACATAAACAAACAAAACCTGTACAAAAAAAATTCCCAAATCACTTATTACTTTGAAACAGTAATTCTGGCAGGCATTATCGCCTAGGACCCCCTCTTCCTCTGCCACGGCCACGTCCTCTTCCTCTGCCTCGACCTCGGCCTCTTCCTGCAACTGAGGGAAAAGAAAAAGCAAGTTAAATTCTCTCCTACACTAATGTTACTTAGTCACCACAAATAGCATTTACACATACACACCTCCCCTTTTACAGCTAGCTCTTCAGTAGCAGGTTCAGTCGAGGAAATTTTAACTAGCTTTTCTCAAATAATAGACCTCAGATTGCTCCCCACCACAGCCTCCGACTCAATATTATGCAGAATCAAGAACTGTTAGCCTAGAGAAATTCTTTACAACTTGTTTAATTCAAATTTATTTAGTGAGAAAAAAAAAATTTTTTTTTTTTTTTTTT